GTCTCCGAATATCTGAGTTATCGGGTCGACTTTGTTACTCACCGGCTGAGACCCACTGCCTTGCCCACCTTTGATATCTACAGGAACATATCTGGAATAGCAACAAAGACTTCCGGATATCCCTCATTGTTCAGCGACCTGCGTTCGGATGTAGGATTTCCAGAGCGTATAGAAAAGTAAAAGGCCCGAAGAAGCATATTGCGCAAAGGCGGCCTACCCGTATCCGGCAGGTTGGTGGGGTCGTACTCGTGAACTACTCAGAAGGCGGACAAATCATGTTTCAGGCCTCGTCATTGACATAGCCACGAGATTTTGGATAGTACCGAGAATCGCTACTTTATTGAATAATGCCCGTATGCGCGAGCGCCAGTGGATTTTGTCTAGCTGTCCAACGGTACGATGGGTGTCATTCGCCATCTGGGGATGCATGTTCGGAGCAGCAGCATCCGCCTGGGTAAGTCAAGCCAAGCGGTGTCTCCACCTCGGTTAGCAACCGAGGCGGCTCGCATGAAGTAAGATCTTGTCCCGTGAAAAGAGGCAACGCGTGCCGACGTGCACGTTGCGACAATTATTTACGATCATGCCTCTCCTTCGACCGTTTTCAACGGCTCGACTATGAGGTTTTAGCTGCAGACCCTGAAAGATGGAGTCGCCAGACAGAATCGAGCCCGACACCCCGTCAGCTCAACCGCCCAGTCGGATAGAGACCGACCAAAACTTACCCACACCCCCAGCGCCGTCTGACGACCGAGACTCCACCAATGCATCCCACCACGACGACCATGGCATTTCATTGCGCGAAGTTGGCCCCGTATCTGTGCGACTTGAACATCTTACAGTTTCAGTCGACCAGTCGCCAAATGCTGTTGCACGCCTCTTCTCCAAAAAGAAACCACTGGGCGACCAAAGCCATGTCAAGACTATCCTGGACGATATCTCGGCAGACATGCCGTCTGGCAGCCTTACTGCCATCATAGGAGGGAGTGGCAGCGGAAAGACATCGCTGTTGAATTCTATGAGTGGGCGGTTAGCCATGGGAAGCAGACTGGCGACTTCGGGCCGCACGCTGTTCAATGGCAGTGAAGATGTGTCGCAGATCAAAAGCGCATATGTTATCCAGCAAGACATACTCCTTCCAACTCTGACGGTCCGAGAAACACTCATGTATGCCGCACAGTTGCGCCTGCCATCATCGGTTAGCCAAGCCGAACGGAAGCGGCTCGTCGAAGAGGTCATCCTCGAGCTGAGCTTGAAAGAAGCAGCTGGTACGAGGATCGGCAACCATGCACACAAGGGCTGCTCAGGCGGAGAGAAGAGAAGGACGAGCATTGGTGTACAGCTCCTGTCGAATCCCTCGCTGTTATGGCTAGACGAGCCTACTACTGGATTGGATTCAACGAGCGCTTTCCAGGTCATCAAAACCCTGCAGACACTAGCAAGAAAAGGAAGGACTATAATCGTTACTATTCACCAGCCGCGTTCTGAGATATGGGATCTGTTCGACAACGTCATTCTTTTGTCGAGAGGCAAACCTGCATATGCTGGTAGTGCAAAGGAATGTCTACCGTACTTTGCAAAGCTGGGCCATGAAATGCCACCGTTCACTAATCCAGCAGAGTATCTAATTGATGTTGTCAGCATCGACAACCGCAGCGCAGAAGCCGAACTTGCGGCCCAGGAACGGGTTGGTCGTGTGATAGAGGCGTGGAGAGTACATTGTAATAGTAACTCTAATGAGAAGGATGGAGCTGGCGCATTGAGTGCGTCTGTCACGAAGTGCTCGACGAAGGATAAGCGGGATAATCGCACATCACTCATCCAACAGACTCGTGTACTTACTGCAAGAACTTGGACTGTGACCATTCGCGACCCCATGGGTGAGTAGCATCTCAAACAACCAGCACATCAGAGCACCACTGACCAGAATGTCTTCAGGTATGTTTGGCAGTTTGGTTGAAGCAATTGGCATGGCCGTAATCACAGGCTGGATTTTCCTGCATCTCGACGGTTCCTTGACCGGTATACGCTCCCGTCAAGGAGCGCTCTACAATGCAGCTGGGCTTCAAGGATATCTCATCCTGCTCTATGAGATCTACCGACTTACTACTGATATACAGCTATTCGACGAAGAAGCGCGACAAGGCGTTGTCAGTATACCAGCCTTTCTCATCTCCAGAAGGTTGGCCAGGATCTTCATTGAGGACATTCCTGTCCCTCTTATCTTCTCCCTAATCTATTACTTTTTTTGTGGATTCCGTACCGACGGAGGCCAGTTCCTCACCTTTTTCGGTATAATATTGCTACACCAGTACATCGCCGTATGTTTCGCCATGACTTGCGTTGCAGTCTCAAGGAACTTTGCAGGTGCAAGTCTGGTTGCCAACCTGGCATACACTCTGCAGTCCATGGCCTGTGGTTACTTTATCCAAGCAAACACCATTCCTATCTATGTGCGGTGGACCAAATGGATCACATACGTCTTTTATGCCTTTGGAGCTCTATGTGCCAATGAGTTTAGCGGCCATTTCTACGATTGTCCACTCGAGGGCGGACGATCGAATCCCGATTGCAAAGAATATGATGGAGAATTCATTCTGGATTCACTTGGGTTCCCAAACAACTGGATCTGGAGGCCCATACTTGCGCTTCTTGGTTTCGCCATTGCCTTTTACGTTGGTGCGGGTGTGCTGCTTAAGTTCTGGAACGCTGAAATCGCTATGGCGCGCGCAAGACCGACTAACACGGACGCTTCTGCTGGCAAAGAGAAGATGAATGAGCGACCGCCGGAGAACGTAAGGACTATTGATATCAGGTTAGAAAACTATGGACTGGATGTCGAAAAGCGTTCATTACGGAAAAGATCCACAAAGACTATTCTAAACCCAATCACAGCAGACTTCCGACCCGGTTCGCTCAACGTGATCATGGGACCATCAGGCTCCGGAAAGACGTCGCTGCTGAACAGTATGGCCAGGCGACTCAAGGACGATACGTCAACGCGATACAAGCAGTATGGAACCATGACCTACAATGGACTAATACCTGCACGAGAAGTCGTGAACTCAATTTGCTCTTTTGTTACACAGGATGACGACGCACTTCTTGCCTCGCTTACTGTACGCGAGACTCTGCGTTATGCAGCTGGATTGCGTTTACCAAAGTGGATGTCTAAAGAGCAAAAGATTCAAAAGGCCGAAGAGATTCTTCTAAAGATGGGTCTCAAGGATTGCGCTGACAACCTCATTGGTAACGATCTCGTCAAGGGCGTCAGTGGTGGCGAAAAGCGTCGAGTTACGATTGCTGTGCAGATTCTCACGGAGCCACGTGTGCTTTTGCTTGATGAGCCCTTATCTGGACTCGATGCTTTCACGGCTCTCTCCATTATGGACGTCCTCCGCGGACTAGCACAAGAAGGCCGCACGCTCATAGTGACGATTCACCAGCCACGCAGCGACCTGTTCAATCACTTTGGAAATGTTCTTCTCTTAGCTCGCGGTGGCCATCCAATCTACACAGGGCACTCAACCGATATGTTACCTCACTTTGCAGGCTTAGGCTATGAATGTCCAGAGCATGTCAATCCCGCTGATTTCGCGCTCGACCTGATAACAGTTGATCTCCAACACGAAAAGCGTGAGGCTGCCAGTAGGAAGAAAGTGCGCAAGCTCATCCAGTCATGGAATCCTGATGCCTTTCCCCTTGCTCGTACTGGATCGATTACAACACCCGCGGAACTGGGAAGCATGGCACGAGAGCCTTCATCATTCTTTTCGGCATACTCAATCTTGATCCGCCGGTCGATGAAGAACATGTTTCGCCAGCCAGACATTATTATCGCGCGAATCATGCAAGTTTTCGGTCTGGGTATCGTGCTTGCACTCTATTTCTCTCCACTCAAGACGAATTACTTCTATGTGCAAAACAGACTTGGATTATTGGTCGAAATCGCGCCACTCTATTTTGTCGGCAGTAGGTACTTCTCTACGCGATAACCTTGGGTTTTGCTAACATTATGCAGTGCTGAACAACATCGCCGTCTATCCAACCGAGAGAGATGTATTCTATCGAGACTTCGATGACCGTGTCTATGGCGTGGAGGCGTTTTTCCTCACATACATCACCACCACGACGCCCTTTGAAATTATCAGCTGCCTTATGTTCTCGGTCCTCGCCGTGTTTGCCGTCGGTCTAGAACGCAATGCGGAAACATACTTCATCATAACCTTCAACGCGTTTTGCATTACCAGCTGCGGAGAGAGCCTGGGCATTGCATTCAACACACTGGTTACGCATACTGGATTCTCGGTCAACTGCATGTCTGTGTTCCTCAGCGTTGCACAAGTCATGGGAGGCGTTCTTTCGCTCGACATCCCTGACTTCCTGCAAGCCTGGAACCACCTCTCGCCTGTAAAGTGGGCTATCGGCAACATGGCACCGTTTACTCTGCGCGGCTTGAAGTTTACTTGTGAGGATTGGCAGCGCGTCAATGGACAGTGTCCTATTCAGACCGGAGAACAAGTACTTGACTTGTACAGGCTGAACAAGAACCCGGAGATGAACCTCATGGCGCTAGGTATCTGCGCAATTGTGTACCGCTTCCTCGCATATGTTGTGCTGAAGATGGTCAAGGAAAGGTGGATAGGCAGACTGTGGAGGAAGATGGGCGGCGGCAAGAAAAAGTATACAGCTGAGATTACGCGTGAGGCAAATACGCCTGCGTAAAGTAGCACATGTCCGAGAAGAGGATTGTAAACATTCAAGCTATTCCAATTGTATCTACCTTTGTGCAGCTGACCCAAGACCAAAAATAGATTTCCCAAGCTTTCAACATGGAAATTTGTAATGATGTAGCCGTAAACCTCAGGTAACCATAATATACACAAAGGTACTATCTGCGTACAAATAAAAAGAGACGACACCACTATAAATCCCAATCGCTCCGAACATAAACAAGAACCCACGCTAAGCATGCTTGCCCTGCACGTGTTGTAATACCGCGATTAGACCCTATGACCCCACAGATGCAGCGAATTCCCGCCAACCCTATTCCTTGTATTATCCCAACCGGCATCCTTCAGCGTCAGGACCTTGGACACAGCATCATTATATCTAAACGTCTGGCCCTTTTCCCACAGCCCATTCCCCAGCTCAATGCACTCTGTAACCGCCGCACCCTCGAGCTCCTCCTCAGGAGCGCCATCATGGCAAATCTGAATCAGGCGATTTAACCCCGTCGTACTAGCCGCTGCCAGCTGCTCAATCCCAAACAACGCACCAGGCGACAACCACGGACAAACGTTACCGGTGATGCGCATGAAAATGGTATGCTCGGCCGACTCGACAAGCATGACGCCCGGAGGAATCCCGCCGGCAATCTGTGACACATCTGCCTGTGCGGGCTGGGCGTGATGTCCGTTGTTTCCATCGTGGAAGAGCGGGGCAGGACGATGATGCTGCGTCGCAGCCCCCCCAGCACCCACTACTACATTTACCAGCGGAGGCACTCGTGCAACAACGCCGCCGACAGCAGGAACGTTTCCAAACGCCAGGCCAGCAGCGGGGGCGGGACTCCAAAGAGGCGCAGGCGCGGCAAAAGGCTGCAGCACGCCTGCCACGGCGCCGGGCGGCGGGGGCGGAAAAGCTACGCCTGTGGAGTGCAGACCGAAACCTATGCCGTACTGAGCATTGGCAAGGAAGTTACCGGTTCGGATGGGGGCGAGGGGTCCGCCGCCTGGCGTAAAGCCGCCGCCTAGGAAGAAGGGATCCACGAGGCCGAGCGGGGGATGAGGGGGGACGGGTGGAAACGCACCTATGCCTATGTCGAGGGGAGGGGCAATGCCTATGGGTAAGGGAGGCCCGTAGATGGGGTTGTGGTGGTGTTGTTGCTCGACGACGACTTGGGCTGGACCTGCAGCAGCGGCCGGAGCGGCTGCAGGTACAGGTGCAGGAGGGGCCTGGGGAATGGGACCCCCAAGCCCGTGAATCGGGGGTGGTGGGGGGTCGCGATTGATGTTGGGGTTGTTGCCAACGTTGACAGGCCAGGGGTGGCCTGGTGGAGGGCCGGCTGACATTGAACGATGAGATAGGACTAGGGGTCTAGTCGATGAGGCTGATGCTTAAAGTAACGTCTTGGTGAGATGGGCTAGAATGGCATTTGCGTATGCTGTGGTTTGGAGGAAGGGAATTCTTTGGTTCTGGCCTGCTGGGTGCGAGGGCACAAATAGCGAGAAAGTGAGGAAGGAGCATCGTGTCTTTTCTACTGATAAATACATATCGGCGCTGAGTGTACGTTGGTGGTCGCTGCGATATGTGAAGACGGAGGTGGCGATTTTGGCGAACACCCTGCAATTCACATTGCGCTGTTGTTGTTGATTTTTGAATGCGCATCGTCAATGGCAAAGGCTAATGCGTTGTGTAAAGAAAGTATGTTTGAAAGACGAACACGTCCATGCGCTGGCACTGGGTGCCCTCTATTAAGCAAACGGCTTTGGAACCGCTGGAAATTGCTTGACTGTAGTGCATGACATGGATGATTGCTGCGCAGGCTAGAGTAACACTTTACAGTTTATGCGAATCGCCCGTGTGACCTTGTGTACTTAACGTAAGGTAATCTTAGCCTGAAAACCTGTCAGTGGTGGAAACTACTTATACATGCGGGCTAAAGCGTTTGGCACAGATTCACTAATAGAAAGGATCATGCACTGTCACCCGGTCCAACTAAAAGAATGATATCGTGATAAAAGGTTGAATTGAAGTAAGGGTATAGATGTATATACATCAAAATGGTATGCAACAGAGGTATATACAGTGAAGTGAAATCGAACCTCTAGTTCGAAACAAGACCAGTTGGGAAACAAAGTGCCCGGGTCATCGTAGCGACCGCTCAACGGCGTGTCGCGTGTCATTCAGCACACTTAGAAGGTGGCGACCTTGGGGCCGGGAACAACGTAGCTCTTGAAGTTGTTGTAGATATTGGCAGTGTAGCCAGAGTCGGTGGACTTGACGTGTCCGGGGATCTTGGTGGTAGGAGAGGGGTTGCCGCTGCCGCCACCGGTGACCTTGATTTGTGCGCAAGAGATGTAGAATTGTGGCGGGCTGCCGGGGTTGTGGATACCGAGCTGCTCGATACGGAGGAGGTACTCTCCAGCAGAGACCTGGGAGGGGATGGTGACAGAATAGGTGGCTGCCACTATGTCAAAAAGGGGTTCCGAGAATATGTAGATGCACATTTGACTTACTGCTCAAATCCCACACGGCCTGTCCACTGGAGAAGTCGGGACCAATCTCCTTGATCTTAAACCAGTCACCGGAACCATCTGAGGAGGCAGCAGAGGTGGCCTTGCTCATGTAGAAGGTAACTGGTCCTTGGTGGTAGACAGCCTGGTCGGCAGTGAAGGTGACGGTCGAGCCAGCAGCAACTGCCACAGTGGTGGTTCCACTGCCACTGTTTCCGTTGGTGTTGCAGCGGAGGTTCTTGTCTGACAGGTCGGTGACAGGGCTGTTGTTGGGGACAGGCCTGATGTTTTGGAATAGACCTCCCTTGACGCCGTTGGCAGTCAGGGTCTGAAAGATGTCTTTGGGTCTGTTAGCACATGTCTCATCCTACACAGCCGTGTATCGTACAGTGAGCCTGAGCGACCTCAGTGAGAGCCGCGAGGGCTACAGTGGCAACGGCGAAGCACTTCATGATTACAGTTGGAGAATGAGAGTTTGGTGAAGTGGGTAATGAATGGACTGAATGTGCCGATGATGATGGATGAGAATGCAAGGCGAACATGCACTGTTCTTATATACACTTCTTCACCCACCAAAGGGCTTTGTATCCTATATTGCGCGATTCCGCACATTTTCAGGCCAGTACGACATTCAGGCTTGATTGGGTCAACGGTGAAACTCGAAATGAAAGCGCGTCACAGGACTTCCACAATGGGCTTCTCCGTACTGGTAGCGAGGCCGGGACTTGAGGCAAACTGTGGAGACTCATTGCCGGTGGCGGTTAGACGAGACGCTTTCAACAGAGAACCTGGTGACACAAGATCAGGGACACCGTGTGACCTCACAGAAAGCAATATTGCGAATATAGTACTTAGTAATCTATGGTGAAGAGCCTGTGGACATGAACGTGTCAAAAGAGATAACAGAGCGAATAGGAGCGGGCAGCCTTGCAAACAGCAGTGGGTCTGTGGAGTTGGCAAAACCGGATTGGCGCCCATGTGGAACTGAACAATGCCAAATGTTCAAGATATATTAATATGTGGGTTAATATGTTTAGATTGTCATGGATCCAGCTAAGGCGGACCTGTCGAACCGGTCGAAGGAAAAAGGAAACAACACCGTTTTCTGAATCGCCCAGCCTTGCGTTTGGAGTTGTGTGCATACTACGCCATCATGTGTAGGTGATGGCCGAGTGTTTGAGAACGCATCCTGTGCACGGATGCCGAGTCAGTGACGGCTTGGTGTGTCCGGAGTTTTCATCATAGAACCCGACACCAGACGATGCAGAGAGGTATCGTAGAGTTACATCAGATATGAAGACAACCCAGGTGACACCGCGCCATTTTTATTCTTTACAGATATACTTCGAATTCCGTGAAGGCATGTTCACTGTGAATGTCGTTTTGGCGATCGACCCGGTTCCAGTTTTTTGGTGTTTCAGGGCACTGGTTGTGGATGTTCTAGAAATTAGGAAGGAAAATCGAGATCTGCAACGGCTGGACGCCTGTCACACGCCACTGAGGGAGACATACATAGTCGTGCATGCTCGCGGCGCATTCAAAGGAACGGCTCTGAACACTGGTGTTTTTAGACAGTCCGCAACGCACAACACTGCCCAGTCGACATGCGGCGCATTTCAGTCGTACATACAAGATGTGGTCCGAGTCCTTGTCTTGGTTATTGGAAGCGTTACATCGAGGCTGCTAAAGAAGAGTGTGGAAAACAACGAGTTGATCCTACCCACGAGAGCTATCTTTGGCAGACGCACTGTCGCAGACGGCACTGTGTTGTCGTAAGGAGAGGCTCAGCGTTGGTGGATGCGGATAGCGATGGCACATGGCGAATGATTGAGAGGCCACGTGATCTAGTCCTCGGAAAGGACAGGCAGGAGCGGGGTAGAGAGTGCACGTGATGCGCCATTGCTCGTCTCGACATTCAGACATCTACTACATACCAATCTGGCAAGTCCTCGCGACGGTCTGCAGAGCACAGATAGGTAACCCGCTTGCTTATCGTCCAAAGACGGTGTGCTCGGTAAAACGTGTCTACCGCTCGCAGTAGCATTAATTCCTCTCTGAGACCTCACCTTCAGCCTTCAGCTCTGAAATCTTGGAAACTAACATCGTGTTTACGCTACGATACATATATTCAATCAATATGTCTGGGGAACACGCCACTTCGGCGCCTTGGCACCCGCTTGCTCCGTTGACCGCAACAGAACTTCAGAAGGCCGCGGGGGTCATCAAGGCATCCTGGCCGGCGCATACGGACTTGCACTTCAAGGTCGTTACATTGCAAGAGCCGCCGAAGACCGAAGTTCTAAAGTACCTGGAGGCTGAGCACGGTGGCAAGCCATTACCGTCTATTCCGAGAAAGGCATTTGTCAACTACTACATCCGCAATACCGTATGTCGCGCATCGTCCGTGCTTTGCAGAATTAGGCATATGTGGCTAACTATTAATCAAAGAGTAAATTCCACGAGGCGATTGTCGATTTGACATCGGGCCGGATCGAGCGCAATCTTCTCCTAGGACCATTCATTCATGCCAACGGAGATGGCGACGAGATTATTGTCATTGAAAAGGTTGCACTTGCAGACGAGAAAGTGCAAGCCGAAATTGCCAAGCTCGAACTTCCAGAAGGCACAGTGGTCATCAGTGATCCCTGGATATACGGTTCCGATGGTATTGGTGACGAAAACAGACTCTACCAATGCTTTCTCTATCTGAGGGACCCGATGAACTCGTCCGAGGCAGATTCAAACCACTATGCCATGCCGTTGCCGATTTCCCCCGTGGTTAGCACGGAGACGATGACGGTCATTCGCGTCGACTTGCTACCTACTGGCGCAGACAACACTATCAAGCCGGTGGGCAAGTACAAAATACAGCCACCCAATGAGTACATTCCGGAGGCACAAAAACTGCGAACGGATCTCAAGCCCCTGAATGTCGTCCAGCCTGAAGGCGCTAGCTTTCAGGTTCAACAACAGGGAACGTCGAGTGTCATCTCATGGCAGAAGTGGCAGTTCAGGGTAGGCTTCAACCAGCGTGAGGGTATGGTGCTGTATGATGTTCGATACGACAACCGTAGCCTCTTCTACAGGCTTAGTCTGAGCGACATGAACATTCCATATGCAGACCCCCGCCACCCATATCACAAAAAGAGCGCTTTCGACTTGGGCGATGCTGGTGCTGGTATCATGGCGAACAATCTGAAACTTGGTTGTGATTGCCTGGGCTCGATTTATTACCTGAGCTCTGTCTTGTCAGACGACAAGGGCGGTGTCATCGATATGCCGAATGTAGTTTGCATCCACGAGCAAGATGCAGGAATTGGCTTCAAGCACACCAACTACCGCACTGGGCGTGCAGTCGTTGCTCGAAGCCGAGAGCTGGTACTCCAGAGCATCATTACCGTAAGCAATTACGAGTACATCCTGGCCTTCATCTTCAACCAGGCTGGAGAGATCAGTTACGAGATTAGAGCAACTGGCATTCTTAGCACACAGCCTATTGACGAGGGCGTCGAGGTACCATTCGGTACCGTTGTACACCCTGGCGTGCTTGCGGTTCACCACCAGCATATCTTCTCATTGCGTGTCGACCCTATGATTGACGGTTACAATAACCGTTTGGTGTACGACGAAGCCTTTCCTATGCCTCGATCAGACTTCAACCCCCACGGGACAGGTTACTACGTCCAGGAGACAGTTGTCGAGAAATCTGGCGGTTACGACATTGCCTACGAGAATAACCGCACCTTCAAGATCCAGAACCCGAACGTGCGCAACCCAGTCAATGGAAAGGCAGTTGCATACAAGATCCAAGCGCCTCCATTCCAGAAAATCCTGTCAGATAAGGACAGCTTCAACTACAAGCGTGCCGAGTTTTCTGACCACAACATCTACGTCGTCAAGCACAAGGACGGTGAGCTGTACGC